CCTCCCCACAGCCCCAGCCCCCTCTGGGACCCCTCCCCACGCACCGGCATCCCCCACGATCTCCTGGCAGGCCTCCAGCAGCAGCCGGGGTCCCACGGCGCGGCCCCAGCGCCCCCCCCTCTTCCTCTGCCTCTTCTGCAGCCCTGGGGGGCACAGAAACGGCCAGGGTCACCCCAAAACTGCCAGGGTCACCCCAAAAACAGCCCTGGGGGGCACAGAAACGGCCAAAGTCACCCCAAAACTGCCAGGGTCACCCCAAAAACAGCCCTGGGGGGCACAGAAACGGCCAAAGTCACCCCAAAACTGCCAGGGTCACCCCAAAAACAGCCCTGGGGGGCACAGAAACGGCCAAAGTCACCCCAAAACAGCCCTGGGGACCCCAAAACAGCCCTGGGGACCCTAAAAACAACCCCGGGGGGCACAGAAACGGCCAAAGTCACCCCAAAACAGCCCTGGGGACCCCAAAACAGCCCTGGGGACCCTAAAAACAACCCCGGGGGGCACAGAAACGGCCAAAGTCACCCCAAAACAGCCCTGGGGGGCACAGAAATGGCCAAAGTCACCCCAAAACTGTCAGGGTCACCCCAAAAACAACCCTGGGGGGCACAAAGGACCCCAAAAACAGCCCAGGGTCACCTCAAACTCCCTCAGTTCCACCCCAAACCCCATAAAACACCCTGAATTCCACCCCAAACGCCCCCAATTCCACCCCAAGCCCCCCCTAAAACTCCTCCAATTCTGCCCCAAACCCCATGGAACACCCCAAAGCCCCCCAGTGTCCCCCCCGGGTGGGGACCTGGCCCGGGGGCCGTGCTGAACGGGACCACCCAGGCTGGCCCATAGCGAGCCCTCAGCAGGTGGCTCCAGGCCAGAAGCCCCCCTTAACCCCCCCAGAACGCCCCCACAGCCCCTTACCCACCTCCAGGTTGTGCTCGAAGGGCGCCAGGCCCCGGCTGTCCCCGGGGGGGTCCCCAGGGGGGTCCCCGGGGTCCCCCAGCCCCCGCAGGAAGTCCCCAAACGCCGCCTCCTCCCGCGCCCGCAGCTCCTCGGGGCTCATCCCGAAACTCCAGGGGGGGCGCCGGGGGAAATCCAGCCCTGGGGACAGGGGGGGGACACGGGGGGGACACGGGGTCACCCTCGGGTGGTGGCACCCCCTGGGGACACTTGGGCACTGCCGGGGTCACTTTGTCCCTTTCAGTGGTCATTTATCCCTTTTAGGAGTCACTTTATGCCCTCCAGTGGTCACTTTGTCCCTCCCAGGGGTCACTTTGTCTTTCCCAGTGGTCAGTTTGTCCCTCCCAGGGGTCACTTTGTCTTTCCCACTGGTCACTTTGTCCCTCCCACTGGTCACTTTGTCCCTCCCAGTGGTCAGTTTGTCCCTCCCAGGGGTCACTTTGTCTCTCCCAGTGGTCACTTTGTCCCTCCCAGTGGTCAGTTTGTCCCTCCCAGGGGTCACTTTGTCTCTCCCAGGGGTCACTTTGTCTCTCCCAGTGGTCACTTTGTCCCTCCCAGTGGTCACTTTGTCCCTCCCAGTGGTCACTTTGTCCCTCCCAGTGGTCAGTTTGTCCCTCCCAGGGGTCACTTTGTCTCTCCCAGTGGTCACTTTGTCCCTCCCACTGGTCACTTTGTCCCTCCCAGGGGTCACTTTGTCCCTCCCAGGGGTCAGTTTTTCCTTCCTGGGGGTCACTCTGTCCCTCCCAGGAGTCGATATCCATTCCCGTTACCATTTACTCCATCCCAGGGCTCACTCTGTCCCCTCCCGTGGTCATTTCATCCCTCCCTACAGCCACCAGGACCATCCCAGTGGTCACTTTGTCCCTTCCAGCGGCCACTCTTGCCATTCCCAGTGCCCCCTCCCCATTCCCAGTGCCCCCTCCCCATTCCCAGTGCCCCCTCCCCATTCCCAGTGCCCCCTCCCCATTCCCAGTGCCCGCTCCCCATTCCCAGTGCCCATTCCCCATTCCCAGTGCCCGCTCCCCATTCCCAGTGCCCCCTCCTGGAATTTCTCCCATCCCCAGTCCCACCCCAAACCCAGTCCAGGCTTTTCCTCCCATTAATCCCCAGTCATAATCCAGTCCAGGTTTGCCCTCCCATTCCTGATTCCAGCCCAAACCCAGTCCAGGTTTTCTGTCCCATTAATCCCCAGCCCAAATCCAGTCCGGGCTTTCTTTCAGGTTAAATCCCAGTCCAAGTCCACTCTGCACTTTCTCCCATCCCAAACCCAGTCCAGGTTTTTTCTCCTGATAATTCTCACTCCAAATCCAGTCTGGACTTTCTCCCATTCCCAATCCCACCCCAAACCCAGTCCGGCCTTTCCCTCCCGCTAATTCCCAGTTCAAACCCAGCCCGGCCTTTCCCTCCCGCTAATTCCCAGTCCAAATCCAGTCTGGGCTTTCCCTCAGGTTAATTCCCGGTCCCAATCCACTCTGGAATTTCTCCCGTTCCCAATCCCAGTTGAAACCCAGCCCAGCCTTTCCCCCCTGTTATTTCCCAGTTCAAACCCAGCCCGGCCTTTCCCTCCCGCTAATTCCCAGTTCAAACCCAGCCCGGCCTTTCCCTCCCGCTAATTCCCAGTTCAAACCCAGTCCGGGCTTTCCCTCCCGCTAATTCCCAGTTCAAACCCAGCCCGGCCTTTCCCTCCCGCTAATTCCCAGTTCAAACCCAGCCCGGCCTTTCCCTCCCCCTCACCTGCCGGGGTCGTGGCGCCGGGGGGGCTCTGGGGGGGGGTCTCCGGGGGGGCCGTCGCCGCCCCGCTCGCGGCTCCCGCTGCGGCTGCCGGGGCCCGAGGCCGGCCCGCCCGGGCCATCTGTGGAACCGGGACATCAGGGGGGCGGGCCCCTCCCAGGGGTCCTGAGCCCCATCCCGGGGTCCTGAACCCCTTCCTGAGGGTCCCGATCCCCATCCCGGGGTCCTGAACCCCTTAGCCCAAATCCAGTCCAGGATTTCCATCCTGTTAAATCCCAGCCCAAATCCAGTCCGGGTTTGCCTTCCCATTCCTGATTCCAGCCCAAATCCAGTCCAGGCTTTCCCTCAGGTTAATGCCCATTCCAAATCCAGTCCAGGTTTTCCCTCCCATTAAATCCCAGTCTAAATCCAGTCCAGGTTTTCCCTCAGGTCAATCCCCAGCCCAAATCCAGTCCGGGCTTTCTTTCAGGTTAAATCCCAGTCCAAATCCAGTCTGGAATTTCTCCCATCCCCAGTCCCACCCCAAACCCAGTCCAGGCTTTTCCTCCCATTAATCCCCAGTCATAATCCAGTCCAGGTTTGCCCTCCCATTCCTGATTCCAGCCCAAACCCAGTCCAGGTTTTCTGTCCCATTAATCCCCAGCCCAAATCCAGTCCGGGCTTTCTTTCAGGTTAAATCCCAGTCCAAGTCCACTCTGCACTTTCTCCCATCCCAAACCCAGTCCAGGTTTTTTCTCCTGATAATTCTCACTCCAAATCCAGTCTGGACTTTCTCCCATTCCCAATCCCACCCCAAACCCAGTCCGGGCTTTCCCTCCCGCTAATTCCCAGTTCAAACCCAGCCCGGCCTTTCCCTCCCGCTAATTCCCAGCTCAAACCCAGCCCGGCCTTTCCCTCCCGCTAATTCCCAGTCCAAATCCAGTCTGGGCTTTCCCTCAGGTTAATTCCCGGTCCCAATCCACTCTGGAATTTCTCCCGTTCCCAATCCCAGTTGAAACCCAGCCCAGCCTTTCCCCCCTGTTATTTCCCAGTTCAAACCCAGCCCGGCCTTTCCCTCCCCCTCACCTGCCGGGGTCGTGGCGCCGGGGGGGCTCTGGGGGGGGGTCTCCGGGGGGGCCGTCGCCGCCCCGCTCG